GGGGGGGGGGGCAGGGAGAGGGGGACAGGGTCGGGGGAGGGTCCTGGAGGGGGTCCCTGGGTCGGGGAGGGGTCCGGTGGGGGTCTGGGGGTCCCAGGGTCAGGGAGGGGGTCTCTGGGTTGGGGGAGGTCTCAGGGTCGGGGAGGGGTCCCAGAGGGGGTCTGGGGGTGGGGTCGGGGGTCCCAGAGGGGGTCGGGGAGGGGGTCCCAGGGTCGGAGAGGGGTCCCAAAGGGGGTCGGAGGATCCGGGGGTGGGGTCGGGGAGGGGTCGCAGAGGGGATCCGGGGGTCTGGGGGGGGTCTGGGGGTCCCAGGGTCGGGGAGGGGTCCCAGAGGGAGTCCGGGGGGGTCCCTGGAGGGTCTCACCTCGGCCTCGTAGATGAAAAGGACCACATGGGTGATGGTGTAGAGCGTCATGTACACCGACAGCTTGATGGAGCCCGTGTGGCTGATCCGACCCCTGGGGGGGAACCATGAGCTGGGACCCCCCTCACTGCCCCTTCCCCCTCACTGGCCCCCACCCCTCACTGCCCCCACCGCTCACCCTGCCCCCAACCCCTCCCCTCACTGCCCCCCACCCCTCACGGCTCACTCTGCCCCCAACCCCTCCCCTTCACTGCCCCTCCCCCTCACTGCCGCCCACCCCTCACTGCCCCCCAACCCCTCCCCTTCACTGCCCCTCCCCCTCACTGCCCCCCCATGCCCCCCCCCGGCGGTACCTGGTGACCGTGAACCCCTTCCCCAGCAGGATCAGCATCAGCAGGAAGACGAGGAAGCTGATGGAGAAGAGCAGCTTGGCTGGGGAGAGAGGGGGGGTGGGCCGGGGGCCGGGCGTGAGCCCTCCACGTCCCCCCAGCCGCACTCAGTCACCCATCCCCGCCCAGACGGGACCCTGCCACCCACAGCGCAGGCCAGGGACCGGGCCGGAGCCCCACTGCCCCGGGAAAGGGCTCCCCCGGGGGAAACCCGGGCCCAATCCCCCGTCCAACCGTGGGGCGCGGCCGGCCTTTCGCTGCCGGAGCTCCGGGCGCCGGGCCCAGCAGCGGGCGCAGGGGGGCCCCCAACAGGGGGCGCGGGGATCGGGGGGGTCCAGCTCCAGGCGCGGGGGTCAGGGGGGCCCAGCAGCGGGTGCGGGGGTCGCGGGGGGCCCAGCAGTGGGTGTGGATCCAGCCACGCGGCCCCCAGCCCAAGCCCAGAGGGGAGGTCCCCTCCCTGCCGTGCTCCAGGCCCCAGTGGTCCAGCCCGGGACAGCGCCAGCCCCTCTGGCGTCGCTGGGGGGTCGTGTGCGGCTGGTGCCTCTCCACAGCCCCCACATCTCTCCCATCGCGGCTCCCCCGGCAGACCCAGGTCCCCCTCCCCAGGGCCACGTCCCGTCCGGCTGCACCCGCCTGGCACCCACCCAGGATCTTGAGGCTGCTGTTCCCGACGCCGTCGCAGGCGTATTGACCCCAGTAAATG